TCAAAATACAAGCCTCGTTTCGAACACCTTTAGTGAGTATAAGTCCTGGGGCCGAGTTTCATGATTCTCGGAAATTTACGGTTGGTAGTCTTTACCCTTACAGACCGGTTTCTGATCTTTATCGTGACTTTAAACTGATAATTAACTCTTACCTCTTCTTCCCTTAGCAAGGTACCATCCTCAACACACTTCCTCTCCGAATTTTCCTTACTGCAATCAAGAAACGGTAACACAGTGTTTAACATAAGAAATGACCTTAAACCTCCCTTTATTCGGTGGTAAACGAGGGTATGGAGTCATTGTTTATTGTCATATTAAAAGTATGTAGTTGAGTTATGAGTCACACTTTAACGCACTCAATTTATATTTTCTCAGTGAGATATTGTCAGTTTAGGTGCTTGGAGACTCCATTTTTCTAAGGTTACCCTGAACTCACTTACATGAAGCAAATTTCGACAGGCAATGAATATTAATTCAGATGAAGGTAGAAGTTTTAGTTTCAAACCACAGTTTTGGTTTCGAGCCAGCCCTTTCTTAAAGGGATTAGAAAATAATTCAGGCTTCAAAATATAGGTCTATGTCAGTGCTTCAGTAAATGAACCACTTTCCAAATTTTAGCAACAGACACTAACCAAAGCGTGTTTCTCAAACAGCCGTGTTTCACTAAGCGTTGTTGTCATTAAGTTTATTATTTAGGTCTTTTTACTGAGGCGTTTAAGCTTGAACATACATTATGTACACCAGACTCTCTCTGAACGTTCTCCATCCCTTCTTTAAAGGAAGTTTTTTTTTTTATAATCATCTTTATAATACATTAATAACCCGTGTATAGATTATTATCAATATCCTAACCGCTCTGCATAACTCTTAATACCACAAGGCGAAATTACAAAGCAATATTTCTAACAGCATTTCCTTCGGATCGCATTTACATCAGCCAGTCTTAATATATCATGTTTACCGGTGACCGTTTGGTTCGAATAAGAAGTGAAAAGAAAGAAGCATATCTATGTAACTTAGACAATCAAAGCAAAATTATATGCAAGTATATGCATGTAAAATACCTCAGGACTGAGTCTATGCATCGTCTACAGTAGCGATGTCCGCAAGACGTCTGCTTCGGTTCTTGTAACAGATCATTGCACTTGGTACACAAATGTTTTGGATCAGTCTTGTCTCGGTCAGTTTCAGCGAGTCGATAACCCATTACTGTTCCTCGTTAACTGAAACAGAATCCGCAAATAAATCTTCAAATAATTGTTATATAACTCGTTAAAATTACCTTGCATTCGCAGCTTATACGAATTTATTTTCACTATCGATATTATAATCAGTACCAGTCTTTCGAATCTTTCAAATAGTTTACTCCGTCGCAATCCTGAAAGTTGTTTTTTACATAATCGTTTAACATTGGTTGTAAGAGAAAAAAAACTAATCAAAGAGAGGAGGAGGGGACGGCATTTTAAGCGAAGTCGCTGCGAAAAACCTCTTCATGCGTTTTGCAATAGAAAACAGGTCGCTGCGAGTTACATCAAAATTCATTAGTTTTGATAACAATGTACTACGTTGCTCGAGAAGAACTGTCACTTACACTACTGCTTATAAAGACAATGTTTAGAACGTCCGCAGTTGTAAAGACGAACTATATTGCGACCTACTTGATGCAGCCTCATAGAATTGAAAAATATCGACAGCTAAATCTGGATGCCCATGAAACCTAACACAGGAAGTAAATAATGTAACTGAAATAGAAAAATAATGAATTGCATATGTTTAGGGAATTTTCCCTGAAACAACACTTTAATTTAAGAAGAGATTTTTGTTCTTTTTCGCTTTCGGTCTGTACCGTCGTCCATAATTCTGAATAGATTTTTATAAAATCTATCACAAAACTGAGTAAGCGAAACACGACTTGTACCCGAAATAATTACAACTTGTTTTGGTCCATTTTGAGTACCAGCAGTTGGTTAAAAAGGCTTTAGTCAAGCGCATGAAACTTGTCATTATTAGCGTAACTAAACACTATGGTTGAGATCACTTTGCTTCCGAATGTCTTTCGGGGCTTACAATTAGTTCTACAGCTCCCTGCTAAGGAAGTTATGTGTGGCATTCGCACTTAAGTTAAAGTTTGCTTTTTCGGAAGAGTCAATATAGCCAGAGTTCAAACTACCATTAAAAAATAACTCAGTGCGAAACGAAATATGCACCGCTTATGGGACATGAACTAAAAACCTAGAAGGCTCAATCAAACATGCTTGTTTCACGCCTGACATTTTGGCTGAGTCTATAAGGTTGTTAAATGAGACAAGGGATTAATTCCCTTACCATCGAATTAAAGAGAACTTCATTGATTTACTTTCAAAAGGCTGCTTAAGGTAAAATATATAGAGGACACCAGAAATGTACTCCTTACAAATTCGTCGCGATCCATCGAGCATGGGAACGAATGTGACAATTTTTTTAATTTAACTTGAAAATAGAATACTTGCATAAAAACGTACCTAATTGTTGCAACTTTTTCTTCCAATCAGGATCGAATTCGTTTGGTCTTCAGATCTGTTTGTAGCATACACTAACGGGTGAATGCTTCTGACTCATAGTAAGACACATTCTACCTATATTATTTAATGGAACAAGGGAGATTCCCTAGTTAATAGGCGATTTTTCAGATGGCTAATCATCTTTCTTATTTAGATCTAGCACTTCCTGTTTGCAGCTCAACCTTTGCTCCTAGTGCGAAAAAAACAATTCCCATTTATTAGACCCTGTTCTAGGTACTACACAAAACTTGCTTTTGAACTCTTCTTTTTGATCTGCACTTGTTGCTCTGAAATCTCTTGTGGCACAAAGGGCATGAATGCCTTTTCCCTGATGACTATTGTAGATTCGCAGATCAGGTCTTTTCAGAGAGTCTGGTGTACGGTTTAAAGTTATCAGCCTTTATACCTCATCAAAGCCGTCAAAATGATATCTTCTTCGTGCTAAAATGACCATTCTGTCTATTGCCCTGACCTTTTGCTTGGTTGATACAAGGTTGCGTCAGGTAGCTTTTGCTGTGAATTAATAATACAGTCGACTATGCAATAAATAAAGGGGGTAAGTTTCTAAAGAAACTATGGTACTGCGTTCAGAATGCAATTATGACAGAGTATAGCTATGGTTTTAACGATTTTATTTGTCACCACTATAGTGTTTAAATTTGCCCATAAAGAACAAGCCAAGTTGTCACTCATTTCTACAGCTTTTGTAAAAAAAGATTGTCGATCTACAAAGGTAAATTAAAACTTTATGTTCCACTTAGATTGATTTCCAAAGCTTTCCTCTTAGCCTGATTTGAAATTACAACTATGACTACGTGTGGATTTGATGCGTCAATTCTAAATCGTATGACATTTAATGGTTGCAGCTTTATATACAAACTATTCCCTTAATAAATCAAAGAGCCAATTTTGTTATCGCTCGATAGGTTAACGAAGGCCGTACTCAATAACTTCCTACATTCCGACATGGCATCACGCGAGATATCGAAACATTTGTCATCAATCTTTTTGAGTGTGGTGCTTTTTTCCCGGTACCTGGAGCTATTCCGCCCCCTTTATTCTGTTCAATCGCCATCTGTAGTAAACCAAATTTGCCCCCACCCTTACGAATTCACACTAAAATCTTTCAACAGTTCTTTGTTGATCGACTCGAAAGTTAAAAAAAAGGTTGATTTCGACAGAAAAGGAATATCTTCTTAACGGTAACGAAACGAATTAAAATATTTGGGGGCAAACTGGTGAAGGTAGCGGCGAACGTTTTTTTACTTCAGGGGGGAGGGGGGCAAACTTGCAATGCCGCAAAAACTCCATAAACCTTCTTTTTTAATTATCTCAATAACACCCTAAACCTTTTACCAGGCAAAGGCCTGCTTCACGATACCGAGCGGGAAGTGAGCCGCGCTGTCCTGCTGGCACTGAATCCGATTCTATCAAAGTATCCTCCACGTGCATCAAACGAGATCTTAAATCATGAAGCTCATCTTGAATGGCCCCGTTCTCTGCTGTTACCTGGGACACAAGCTGAGAGACTGTGGACTTCAGTCGGCCCATTACAGCCACTCCCTCCCTCAGGGGTTTTATCTCGCTAACAAAGAATCAAAGCTGGTCTCTTAAGCTGAGTACAAAAAGAGGAGGAGGAGGTCGAGATGAAAGACCACCAAAGGTTTTATAATTACAACTCTGGCCAAAAAAAAAACATATATATATATATTGCATATATATATATATATATATTACAATGGATAAGTAGAATGCTATTCTATACTTGTGTTAATTTCAAGTACCCACCCACTCATGAGGAATCGAGCTTAAATGAGCATTTAACCATTAAATTACCATTAAAGGTATATATTTATATACTCACTGCGCAACGGATAGGTAGAATGCTATCCTGTACTTGTGATAGTTTCAAATACCCTCTCACGAATCGAGCTTATATGAGCTCATATTTCATTAAAAAAAGGCGAGGCCCCACGTGACCCCACGCCATCAAAAATTATTGTTTAAAGCAATCGGCGGGGCCCCACGTGAGTATCAAAGATTAGTCAGCTTTCATACCGCGTATTTTTAAATAATATACTTGTTTAAAGCAATCGGCGAGGCCCCACTTGAGTATCAAGGATCAGTCAGCTTTAACACCTCGTATTTTTAAAATAATATACGTATTTATAACTTATTAAAATTAGAGAAATTTATTTACGGGAATCCCCTCTATTCAATAACGAGTCGTCAATCGGTGACTTATACACTGTAATTCATTTGGTATATCATAATATTATCTAGAAATGACTAATCTAGAGGAGCTCGAGCAGTTTTCCGACCAAGAACGTTTGTAACTTACAACTTTAAGTAAACAGCACGATGAGTCTTCTGGCAAGGAGGATCTTTTTCTCTCTCATTATTATTTTTTTTTTTGTCACACTGTTTAATCGATTATAGATTTATTCGTTGCGAATCGACGTTTAGGAAATGGTCTCCCACTTTTCGGGATTTTCGAAGTTCTGTCTTGTAAATTTAATAAACAATAGCCTAGGTTTACAGGCTCTGGAAATGCAATTAAAACCAGTAACTTATCATGGCTTAAACCCTTAAAAGTTACAGTCATAACTCAAATGTCTGTAGTGTCAATTATGACCTTAACGAACATGGTATCATCGCGCACGTAAGCGTGGTTGTTTAACCCCGATAGATGGCAAAACGTTGGACAACCACTGGCGATGTTCATATCTCTCTTTGGTCGTTGGAAGGATTTGCTACTTGGATCCGGTCTGAAGGCGTCGATAACATGTTCAACGTCATCCTGATCCAACAACATGAAGGTGACCTTCTGTCTGAAAGGCCAGCGAAGAAGTGCATCGTACGGACCGCGCATAACCACAAAGAACAACGAGATGTGTGTTCCTTTGCCCATTCCATCTCCGTTTAGATAAAGGCGCACACACATCTTGTATCCATAGCTACTAGCGTAAAAAGGTGGACTGTAGAGAGACACTTGTCTGCCGCTGAGTGCATCTTGCCTTTTTCTGGCAAAGTCGGAGATTTTCCAAAGCAAGATGCCATTGTGACTAGAAACCTCATTCTGTCTGACTTGTTCCTCCAAATCAGCCAGAAGCACATTACGCAGGCCCAGCGTGTGCTCTATGGACTCGAGACGTCGCTGTATCTTTGAAAACACTTCTTTGAAATTCTCGTGTTCTCCCTTCAACCCTTTGATCTGTCGCCCGAGATCTTCGTCATTTTTGTTTCCTTCAATCATAAACACCTCCAGGTCAGAAATTTTAGCTGCTTGGTCGCTAACTTTTGTGGAGAGTTCGAGCTGCTCACTATTATCGCTTGAGTCACCAAGCAGTCTGAAATGATCTACAGCTTTCTCCAGGTTTTCGATGCGAGCTTCTTGTTGGTCACCTCTTGATTTAAGTGCACCAGTCTCCACTAATGCTGCTCCTATCTGCTTGATCGAATAGTCCAGTTGTTTTTCAATGGGAACAATTAAGCCACTGATCTTGCTTGATAATGCATAACTCAAAGTGCTGCTAACGAGCGAGGACAGTTCTGTAAAGTGCTGCAGCAAATAAGTCATGTGTTCTGGTGTGTATTCTTTGAGGTGATCCTTTCTTTCATTAAAACGCATAGGCTGAATTAAAAACGAACAAACAATTAAAGAGGTCGTATAAAAGCTTAACTTGATTCGTTGTGGCATGCTTTCCCTCCAAATCGGATTTATACAAATTGCAGTCAGAATATTTTCGTCATAAAAAGCAGGATGTCTTTCAGTGTTACGTATTTATATACAAGTCACAATTCTTATTGACGGAACCTGGGGATGCATTGTTAACCCAGCCAAAGGGAAAAGAAATACTCCTTGTCGCTCATATCACTGAAACCGAGATAACTACAATTGTACTGTCAGGCAGAATGTACCATTTGCTTCGTTTGTAAGATTGCTGCTTCACCTTACGAGAGGCATTAGTTTTGCTTAATATAAAGGCAATGAGCAGGAAAACGCTATTTGTTACCTTTGTTTTTTTGCAGCCCATCGCTGCAAATGGACACACTGTTTTCATTTCTTGACAGTCCCCAACTACTGGATCCAAGTGAACAGAAACCTGAGAAACATGCGAAGCCTTATAGCAATTAAAATCATAAAGCTATTGAACAGTACAGATCAACACTGGACATGTAGACCTGATCTATTGTGTACAAAAAATAAGCAACGAAAAAAAACAAGAACAAACATAAGCACGATGAACGATACATGTAAGAAAGAAGAAAATATAACGAGTCGATGAGAAATTAAAAGGAAACAAGCAAACAGCTTGACGTAAGCCATCGAAAGATGAAGTAACCGAGTCCCGATTGGTTTTCATCTTTGCATTTGATTGATTAATAAGAGAAAGATTCAAGCTCTAAGAATAACCACAAATTGGAGCAAGGCAAAATGTTTTCAATCCTAGATTATTCTCTATAACTATTTTGCTCAATATTGACTCAGAAAACCCTTTTGCCCGTACCTGACAGCGTGGAATATCTTCATTTCCACATTTAGGGCAACACTGAGGATAACTTGGACAGTCTGTTTGATGATGGTCCTGGAAAAAGACGAGAAAGCAATAATAGGGTTGAATCTTCTTTTCTTTAGATATGCGTGTGATTGTATTTAGGGAAACATCGCATTTGATTTTGATCATTTAAGTGGTGTGGATCCAGTGACAGACTGTAGGAGCTGTAGGCTACCTTTACTAGTTGACGTAATTATCATTCCTCCACCTTGCAATAGAGTCAAATGCAACCATATATTACCTGGCAAATAATTGAAGGGGGTAGGTTTCTAAAGATACTGTGGATCTGCGTCGGTGGGAGAGTATAACAAGATAATAGAGTATTATCAACTGAGTTGATAACATAAATTTGCTCCTTCGTGACAAAGGGCTAAAGCTCAAAACGTTAGTTTTGAAACTGTTTACGGACGCCAATTTACGTTGTCACCACAGTTGATATTACTAAATTACCCATTATTACCTGGGTTTCTCCAATGAAACTTCTAAAAAAGTTGCGTTATTTTTTCAGGTCAAATCACACAGGACGAAATCACATGTTTCCGTATTTCTGAAACGTGGCTGAAACATGCAACTCCATGTTTCCGTTATGTTTACGTAAAAGTGGTCCGGTTCCGTTGTATACGCAGCAACGGAAACGCGAGAAAACGTCACGAAACCGGTAACGGAAACACAGGTTATCCGTCGTGTTTCCGGAACGGTTTAACATGTTTCTGCCACGTTTCCGTTTACGGATTCTTGCAATTTCGTCCTGTGTCAGTATTCAAACGTCAACTTCCAGCACTTTTAGAGTAATATAATTTGCATGATATTTACCGCCATATCAACGACCAAGATGCGTTTTCCACAATAGGTGCACAGCTCCTCCCTGCAGCTGCAATCGTTTTCAAGATGACTGGCGAGGTCTGATCTTTGTACCATAGTTCCACATCTGGAGTGAACACATGGAATTTCAACAAACTCACAAGTGTGGTCATGTTCCTAGGATAAAAAGAGCCTATTGGTTTGTATCTAAATGCAAACGTAATTCAGTTAATTTAAACATTTAGACTGTGTAATGAAAGTCTGTGGTCCTTTTATGCCTTTGACTGTGCGTTGCGTAGACTAGACCTCTTTGTTAACGTCTGATATGAGAACAAGAGAATGGCTCGTGCAAGGCTCTCACTCAAAAGAGACGAGCAAGAAAGTAGGCGAGCAAAATTTATCAGGGGTAACGGAAATAAGTGAAAAAAGCTCCTTAAACCACCATTCCTCCACCCCCTCCCTTTTCGCTCGCCCAGACTTTTCACTTTTACTCATGGACCTAAGTTGTTTGATTGGTCACCATCATAAAATGTTTCGTTTTTTCATTTTTTCCATCAACTGGCTTAATTCTTGGTTGAAAATGTATTGAGCAGAACCGGAACCGGAACTGTAAAATCAAAGCATCACTGTGAGTTTAATAATACCTGACGGTGCTTTAGCTGGCCGATCCACTGGCACCCTTTCTCGAAACGGGGACAATGAAGCACTAGTTGGAGGATTTCGCGCTCCACAAATTTATCAGGGAAGACCTGTATTAGATTGACATAGATAATTGAAATTTAAATGGCTGTAGCATTCATACATCGAAAAGCGTCTTTTAGGAAACCTGTTTATCATGTTAATTCAGTTTATCTTCCTACTTATAGCGGAGCTCGCAGAGCGTAGCCCCATAATCATACAAAATAGTAGTAGCCCATCAAGCCGAAAAAATTTGGATGTACGACCGTACGACCGTACGACCGTACAAGGTGCTACTTTTAACATGCGTGGTCAACTGTACTGCGGGCACGCCAACGCCACAGCTTTGTTCAGTAGTCCAATGGTCAGTGCACTGGGCTCCGAGTCGGACGACCCGGGTTCTAGTCCTGGCCGGGGCAAGGCGTTGTGCCCTTGAGACGTGCGGGAAAGAAAATGCGAGCTTCACTTTTAAGCTTGGCTAAATCTATATATTAGAAAGGATTTTTAATGAAAAGCGTGCCAGAAAGTTTTCAAAGGCCTGGTAAACAACGATGCAGCTCCTATTTAAAATGGCAAATTGAATTGCCCATCGCAAATTGGCACCCAGACATTTCCAACATTTCGCGGTAATATTTGGTAGCATAAAGTTAACCAATACCGTCTACCATTTTATGATAAAGTAAAATACCAAACTCATGCACGAACCCCTCTGATTAAGAACTTCCAATTCAAAGGTTAAATATATAGAGTCTCCTATATAAAACCACTCCGTACATATAAACCATCCGTGGCTGTTTTAAGGACATGCAAGAACAAAGAATATCATATTGGAAGTTAAGGACACATTCTCAGACTCCATTGCATTTATCTGGTACCGGTGTTTCTTTGTGTTGCACACTCTCCTCTTACCTCTTCTTCCCTTAGCAAGGTACCATCCTCAACACACTTCCTCTCCGAATTTTCTTTACTGCAATCAAGAAACGGTGACACTGTTTAATAAGACAAATGATCTTAAGCCTCCTCTTATTCGTTGGTAAACCTTTGAAATACGCGAAGATATAGAGTCATCATTTGTTCTTACATTAAAAGTAATTAGTTGAGCTATGAGTCACACTTTGACGCGCTCAATTTATATTCTTGAGATATAGTCAGCTTAGGTCAATTAGGGGACTTCAAACGTCGCCTGAAGAGAAGCCTTACCTCAAACTTTCTAAAGACTTTATTTAATTTATTTGTTTTATTAATTAATTTGATTATGTTATATATTTACTAGTTAATTAGCTCATTAATTAATTATTGTGCTTTTATTAGTAATTAGGCACTTTCCAAGTTTTTGCTACAGGCACTAACCAAAGAGTGTTCCTCAATAGCCGTGTTTCATTACTGTTGTAGTCATTTTAAGCTTGAATACACATTATGTACACCAGCCTCTCTCTGAACGTTCCCCATCCCTTCTCTGAATGGGGTTTTTAGTATTATTATTATTATTATTATTATTGTTATCATTATTACTATCATTATCATTATTATTGTTATTATTATTATTATTATTATTATTATACATTGATGACCCGTGTACAAATTATTATCAACATCCTAAACGTTCTGCACAACTCTTAATACCACTTGGACTTGGCAGAAATAAACAGCAATATCGCGAACATTTCCTGCTGGTCACATTTAGTAGTCGACTAGTCTTAATATCACTTTTACCGAAGACCGTTTTGTTCGAATGAGAAATGAAATAAAATAGGCATAGCCCTTACAACATGTAACGAGGAAACTAAATTAAAGTTCTATATAAATATGTACATGAAAATACCTCAGAACTGAGTCTATGCATCCTCTACAGTAACGATGTCCACAAGATGTCTGCTTCGGTTCTTGTAATATATCATTGCACTTTGTACACAAATGTTTTGGATCAGTCTTGTCTCGGTCAGTTTCGGCGAGTCGATATCCCATTGCTGTTCCTCGTTAAATGAAACAGAATCTTCAAATAATTTTTATACAACTCGGCAAAATTACCTTACAACACCAATCTTTCGATTTCCATAATTAGTTCCGTCTAAAAATACCCCTAAATTATGCATTGGAAAATTTCCCGGAAACGACAATTTTAGATTGTGACTGTCGATCGATTTGGAGCGGTCGAACTCTTCGCTTCCAAAGTATACTTAAGATTATTGTGTTCCAAATTGTCTGCAGATACAACAGAAGTGAAACAAGCCAATAGTTCAAAATTATGATGAATGATTCACGTTCTATAAAATACATGTCACATAGCTCCTTTCAGGCGATTTACAAAATGTTAGACGAAAGATATCGAAAGTGACAGGTTTTCCTTTCGTTTAGAGGTGGTACGTTTTCTACAGCATTTGACCTGCATAAATATTTTTTTCAAACACATTATCTGATACACTTTGAACGTTAAACCATTGAACAACGGAGATAAATGATTTTTCTATAAAAGCTGCTCCTCTTACTTCCTGTCTGTATCGTCGCCCATTATTCTGAATAAATTTTGATAGTATTCATCACAAACCTATGTTTAAGAAACACGACTGGTACCTGAAGTAAGTGCAAGTTCTATTGATGCTTTGTAAATACCACCAGTCGGTAGAAAAGGCTTTCTTCAATCACATGAATTTTGTCATTATTTACGCAACCAAACATCATGGTTATGCCGATCACTTCACTTCCGGATGTCGTTCGGGGCTTATAACTTGGCGTCACAACTCCATACCAAATTAGTTATGACTGGCATTTACACCAAAATTAGGGTTTGCCTTTTCGGTCAGTATAGCCAGAGCTGTAAGTACCATTAACAAATTACATAGTACGAAACGAAATACACACCGCTTATGGGACATGCACCAAACACCTAGAAGGATCGATCAAATATGCTTGTTTCACGCCTGACTGTGTCGGCTGAATCTATAGTGCTGTTAAAGGAGCCAAGGAACTTTTCTCTTGCCAACGATTCAAAGAGAACTTCATTGATTTGCTTAAGTTGACCCCTATAGAAGACACCACGAATTTACGCATTACAATCTCGTCACGATCTATCGAGCGTTGGAAAGGAGTTGGACAACTGTGGAAATAAACTTGAGTAAAGAAAACTTGCTTAAAAACTTACTTGAGTATGGCGACTTTCTCTTCCAATCAGGACCGAATCTCTTGGGTCTTCAGATCTGTTTGTTGCAAATACTAACGACCGAGTGCTCCTGACTGTTAATTAGATAACTTATTTATATTATTTTGTGAAACAGGGGAGATTCCCTGACTAATATGCGATTTTTTAGTTGGCTGATCATCGTTTTTAATTAGATCTAGAACTTCTTGTGTATAGACGATCTTCACTCCTAATACAAAAAATCCCATTTTATTGGCCCTTGTTCCGGGCACTGCACAAAACCTGCTTTCGAAGACTTCTTCGAAGAGTGATGATGATTCTCATGTCAGGTACGCTCAGATTTTTGTTGGTCAGTTTCAAGTTATTGGTGTTTTATTCCTCTTCGGAGCTGTCTAGATAATTCGTTTCAAAGTAACACTACTGGCTATTTTTCCGATCTTTTACGCATTCACTATACACGGTTGCGTCAGGTAGCTTTGGTCATGAATTAATAGTACAGTTGACTGTCCCTTGAGAAAAAATAGATGCGCAATGCGTACATGTGTGGCTAACGAGTAACACGTAATGGAAGTTAAACCGAAGGGAAAAAATATGAGCTGGAAGTAGATGAGAGTAAGTCTATTTGGATTAAATTTACCGTACCTTACATTGGAAACTTAATTCTGGACATTGGAAGAAGTGAATGTCTGGATATCGCTCAGAGGGGTAGTAGGAGTTACAATATCTCTCCAGAGATGAACACTTTTCGATATGATGGTCAATAAAAAAAACCATGCGAATTGAAATTATTTTATACTGTTTTTAGTTACAATTTTACAAATGATTAGCAGCAATACTCTTTGCCTGAGAAGTGACAGGATTCGTACACTTTTTCAGGCCAAAAATTCAAGGACTTTCCTATTTCAAATTTTCAAGAACTTTTCTTTTTTGTTGAAAGCTATGTTTTGGGCATAAACACGTGCACATGCAGAAACGCCAGACGAGAGCTTGAAAACACGTTCAAACCAGACATTCGCTGTGCATTTGAGGTTCAATGGACATGCGTGAGAATAAGGAGAGAGCACTAGGAACACAAAACGAGTGTAAGCATTGCAAGCATTTCGAGAAGTGTACACTATTTGTTTTCACTGGCTTTCATTTACTTTAAAACTTGTAAGCGTTTATATGGTTCTATCCCGTTCAATAAAAAATCAAGTACTTTCAAGGACCAAGAACCAATTTCAAGTACTTTCAAGCCCCTTGAAACCGGACAGCTGAATTTAAAGGGTTTTCAAGACGCGTATGAACCCAGAAGTGAAAATATTAGAGTAAACTACGTTATTACTTAATTTGCTGAAATCTGCTACTTGCCAGACAGTTAGACTTGTGCCTTGTAGCACTCAAATTGTTTTTAAAATTCAATCCAGTTTCTACGTGCATTTAATAATATGTACCTTTGGCACTTCCAGAAAACAGTAAGTAGTTTGTCAGATTCTTTATAAGAGCAGGAGCAGCTCAAGTCATCCTTTACGACGATTTTAAACCAGAAATCTTTTGTCGAATTAGTTATAAATTTCTAATGTGTGTTTAGGTGCGAAAGGAAGGCAGTACTGCCGAAACACCAAGTATCACTGGGTTAGTACCCTGAAAGAGGACATTTGGGAGTTCCCACAGAACTGATAAAACTTAACCCCTGTGGAAGTTGAACTGGCGACCTCTGGATTTAATCTACTGACGTTTTACCGACTGTGCTACTGGGCAGGTCGTGGTAATTTAGATAGGGATGGATATGTTAGGAACCGTATAGCACCGGTGGTATTAATTAATTATACATCTTTTAAGTATCAATAATTTACATCACGGTTCCTATCAATCTTTTGTTCATTTTTTTCGGTGTAAAAATTCTAGTTGAAACTCCCCAAGTTTTTACACCCCATAGATGCTTCAAAAAGTAAAGTCCGGCGTACAAACCTAATGACACATTAGCTTGTCTTAGTTTCTGTAGCATGAAGGTGGCTCACAACAGTTGCAACACATTGCAGTTCTTATACTTTGATGGCCAGTACTGCCACTATTTATTGTGTGATGTTACAATAATTACATCAAACGAATACCTTCTCATAGCTGATATACCTGGAAGAGTAAACATTTCTTTTTAGCAGATTTGGGCTCAGCAGGACAAATAATGTAGTAGATAAATATCTTAATATAAAATAAACTGATGTTTGCTAAGCCTTCAAGGGTACTATTTTTTATTTGCCCCTTACGCGAAGGTTGAATTTTTTTTACTTTTTTCCACATGCAGACTTGCTCAGCAGTTTTGAGTCCTGCTGAATGCAGTACACTTGGTGTGTGTCTGCCTAAAACTACTGCACTGTTCAGAAAGTGAACAAAAAATGCAATTTCCTGATTCACTGAATCATTTACAACAGATCATAATTGCATACTGCAAGACTGGAGTTTCATGCACATGTAAGAAGTTTATAACTTTCTTTCATTTGTTAAAAATAAATAAAAAGTGTCAGTTGTCTCGTGGAAGTTACATGTAGATCAGGCGTTCATTACACATTAAAATATTTGCTAGAAAAAAGGAGCAGATTCTACTGCTATTTGTTCAGTTGTCCCGACTGTGACTTTCAATATTCTTTTCACTTGTATCTTCACAATGGCTTGTTTGCATTTTTCCTGTTATTTGTTCCAACTGTTTTACACAGAATTTAACTTGCAGTGTAGCATGTATAGTACAGGAACCACTGATCGGTTGGATTGCTATGTTTTGAACAGGAGAATGTCAAGCTACTGGTACTTCTTGCTGTTTGGAACTGTAGGGAAAACTTCCTTTTGTGATGAGTGAAGCATAATTGTCTAAGAAGACAAAAGATAAATATACATATTCATTAGTAAATAATATGCTATAATTATGCACAGTAAGATGGCACTTTATTTATGGACAAGGTTTTTTTTTCATGGGAAGAGGGACATAGGGTGCAGAAATAGGATACTTACCAGTTGATGATGTCAGTAGTGCAAACCAGAATTCTTAGTGTGGTAGAAAGCCAGAATTCCAGCAGCAGTGTAGGTTAAAGATATAGATCTCCTGAAACTAATGAAAACACACTTTGCTGAAGAAGTTAGTCTGCTTTTTATGGTCCACTATGTATATTTTCTTATTATTTCCTTAGCCACCTCTCTGTGATAGATATTCAGCATTGGCATGATCAATGTGTATGTTATGGTTCTTAAAAAAATTATCTCTGGTTGAAAGTTTTTCATTTTGATTTGATATTTATATTTTATTGTGTCATATTCATTACCATGATCTATCAAAAAAAAAAGGAAAATAAAACTGGTTTATAAAATTTGAAACCAAAACAATTGGAAGGATAACATATACAATAAATGTGAATACTATTTTCATTAGCACTGATAAGTATTTGCAATATTATATAGCTGACTGCCACAGAAGTAGTATTTCATATTCCTTCCCATAATTGTGGGCATCTGTGTCCTTAATGTATATAGTGTTACAGTGTATCTTCATAACATGTACAGGAGGTTTTTCAAGATATCCAGAATTATCAAGGGCAAGGTAAGCATTATCAGCTGAAGCCAAAGGCTGAGACCCACAATACTTACTGAGATGTACCTAGTTGTGGATATCATGCAGAACCAAGTTCAATAATTTTTATTACACACTGATATGTTAAAGAAAATATTCAACAGAACTAAAGGACTTAATACTTTAGTGCAGTGATAACTTGCTCCTTTCCATGGGTTGTGTCATTTTTGTTTCCTTGAGTACTCTTGAAAACTTGCCTGGCTACTTTTGCTAACCTTTTCCTGTTCTTAGCAGGAGCATTATCTTCTTCAGTTTTCCTCTCTAACTAGACACATATCGAGCCATCATTTTCATGTCAGTTGCCCAGTTCAAGCTATGTGACTGCACTCTCCATGTGACAAATAACCCCTGTAGCTTTGTGATGGTGTTCTACACATGAAAAAATATCAAGAATTATCAGCAGCTCACAGAATAGGAATTGAGACTTAGTATTATAATAATTTTACAGTTTTGCAGATAATATTGTATCATATTTTTCATGTTTTTCTAAGTGGTTAAATGAATAGTGAAACTGTAATTTAATTAATTGTGTCATGAAATGAAGCTCAAACTACTCTGTTTTCTGTAAAACATTTTTCAAATACACCTGCTTGGAAATCCAATTGGGATATGTTTGTATATATGTGATCAATTACAGTTTTGTTGTCAGTTGTATAAGTTGATATCAACTGCTTTTAACCTTTATCTCTTAATTGTAAATTAAACAATGGTCTCCTCTCTGTCTCAATAAGCCAATTTCTATTAAATTCTCCAACAATAATACTGTTGTCAAGTAAAATAGCATTTAAGACTAGAGAAATTGCTTCACAAAGCTGTCTTACAGATACCTTTAGAGAGTGATATACATGTATGCCTAAGATTGTCCAGTTCTCACAAGTCATAACCTTTATTACAGTAATTTCATTACTGGAGTTAAGATAATCATTTTGGAAGAGATTGTAACCACTGATGTCATACATGTCATTAGGATCTTGAGAATTAAATCTTGTTTCTGCAAGAATGTTTATATCAGAACTGGAATAATTTAGATCGTTATGCAAGTCTTTTGTGTTTATGAACAGACTTTCCATTCAGATAACACAGTTTGAGACGGGAATCTGTTATGTGATTAAGTGGTATGTGATATACAAAGCTTAAGTTTTGCAATTGTTCTTAATCGCTTCATTTCTATCTTAACATTGAGATGGACAGCAATTTTGTCTTCACAGAGGTCAGTTATAAATAAACCTTCAAAAGTAGTGACTCACTCAGTCCCATGCACATAATGAATGTGTGGAATATTAGTTCTTCTAGTGTTTAAGTTGACAACTATTTTAGTTTCAGTATCACCCTGAGATCTGAGCATTGTTTTTGCTGCTGCAGTATGTGATGGAAACTGTTTCCTAACAACTTGTGCTGCTTTGTTTCTACCTACTGAAAATTGCACAGTGACAGGTTCTATTGGGGTCCATGCATTGTCAATACCTTGAATATAGAAATGTCTGTTTTCAATTGTAGTTTTATTACCAACATCCAAGTGGTCAAATTGTACCCACACTATACCTAAAGATTTGTTTTGTTGATGTCACTGAACAAATTTAATAACATTTCCAACACCATTAGTCATGCCATCTTCAGTTCATATATTCATGGCAAGTTCAGTTCTTTCACCTTCAGCAAGACATAGGTTCCAGGCCAACTGTTAAGTTTTTCTTAGATCATTAGGTATTTGTCACAATATTTTTTCTCTTAGCTCAGCAGAGTGATAGCTCCAATAACACTGTCTTAAGCTTTAATTCTGTATTATTTTGTTTCCTATTGCTGCACTGTGAACTCTTTAATTAAATTAATCAACCTTTGCATTTTGTACAAATAAATGAGGTGCTTCAGTTGGGTTGTTTAAGTCGTCTTGTATAATTCTCTCTTTAAATTTGCAATGTCACTAGGTTTGTGTTTGTGTTTTCTTGTAACCTATTAAGCTACTCAGCAAAGAACTTGCTTTCTCTTTGACGCATGATTTCACGATTTCAAACATTTTAAAGTGTTGTTGCCAGAGATTAGGAGTAAGAACTACATAATCTAAATTTTTGAGGTCTCTAAAAACACAACTATCCATGACAGGCTCTAACTGGAACATAACACCAATAGCAATAATGCCGATGCCTCCAAAATCATCTTTACAACCTTGAATATCTTTAAGCCTATTATTGATTTGTATGGCAAACAAACTGTTTCTTACCATTGAGATTTAATCTACAAAAATTAATTTTACTCCTCCAAATTGAGTTTCTAAGGTGTTTAGTCCACTTAAATCAAGCTATTTTTAATTTTTTCAATGACTGATTGGCAGGAACAGCAATTGCACTGTCAATAATATGACCTTTAACAATATAGGCAGCTTTCCCAGCTGGCTCTGACAATAAAACTTTGATTTGATGAAAATCATCACCAGCTTTAGTATTATAATACTCAAGGGCTGCCTGATACAATGCCTTTGTTAGGTGTAATTTGCCAACACCAGCTCCACCATTAAGAAAGTAATAAAAGAGGCTTTCTGACATTTTAATCTGGTGCAAAATTTGATAGAAGATTATTCTTTTTGCATGGTCTTTATTTAAAGTCTGGACCATTTAGCAATAATCATCACCTGGTAATTCATTCAATACATGCATCAGTGGTTCATTATTAAATAATGTTGATAGAATACCTAGATCACCGGACATGACAGACACACATCAGTGTGATCTGTGTTGTGTAATTGTTTCTCAATCTCATCAAGACCTTCCCTACAGATGGCATACTGCCCCGTTTGTTTGTCTATTTTGTCTATTAAAAGAAGGAAACACTCTTGATATGAAGGGCTGTTGCCTATTATATCAGTTTCTTTATTTCACCAAGAAGTAAAAAACATAAGTTCACGGTAAGGGTGAGATTTCACATTGAACCAAACACTTCTAATTATTCGGGGCTTTAGGCATTGCTTTGGTTTTGACTGTTTTGTATTTTGCATGGCCTCATTGGCACAATCTGAAGAACTATGTAAACTGCTTCCAGAGCACTTATTTCAACACTGTTTAAAAATTTATTTCCAATGTCTCCAAAACTTTTCCTCCCAGTTCAAATTCTAAATCAGAATCTGAATATTCTTTATCATCAACAAGCTTGCCAAGTATTCTTAGGAGATGAATCCACTTTGTTTTAGCTGATGAAAAACTACAAATAAAGTAGCAGGTCCGAGTTGTTTAATCATTACAAAGATATCTTTTTTTGGCCCGCTCAAAATAAGGAGGTGAACCCCAAAGAGCTCATAAAAAGTTGTAGCCTTCATCAAGATGAACTAGTCTTTCTAGTACACCTTCTTGCTTTAAGTGACCAGATGTCAAATTCCTGTTGTTTCCCTTACATTTTCTCAAAGCTACTTGTGATTTCCCCAAAAGAATCTTCATTAGCAATTTTAAGTTTTAAAAAAATTTTCTCAATATGTATAGCTGCTCTTCAATCTGATTGTCTTAATTCTTATTTGCAAATATCACTAAAATGAATATCGACTAGTCCATTGTCATTCTCTGACCTTTTTTGACCGACAAATATCCCTGAATAGGCTAACTCTACAGAATATTTATACTTATATATTTATAAATATACTCAAAGATACACTTCCTTCCCCAGGTGTTATTTTGTAAATTTGTGCTCACTCATTGTCTTCAAGAAAGTCAGTAGCAGTTAACATAGTATCAGTTAATTCTGCAGGTATTTCTGCATCATCTTCAATCCAATCATCAAGTTGATTTATGTCTTCACCACCTTCACCTTATTTGCTCATTAGGTTGTGAAACATCACCAGTTTTACATTCATTTTGTGAAAAGTTTGTACTACAGCTTGTTGCCCTGTCTGCACCAATGGAAATTCCTTGTTCTCTATAAAGGATACTGTTTGTAGCTAGCCAGTTTGCTGCCTGCAAAATTTTATTAGGTCTAACATCCAAAGACTAGGCAGAACTGTTGTATTCTAATCATCTTTTTAATTGAACTTTGATTGTTCCACTTTCTTATGGCAACTGTGATAACATATTGACATTATTGTTAACATCTGCTGATACATTTACCATGTCCTTTTATTTTAAACTGATTTCCTCTGGGAGCTTGCAGAGGCTTTTGAAAAGCCTACCTAAAACATTTATAACAATACCATCAACACTTATTTTAGTAAGTAAGTATTTTCTTGCAGTAGGGTTAGAAAGTCTAAGTTTTTCAGCAATGATAACACTGTGTTTATACCACTACTGGTTACAACAAGAGCAAATGTACTCTAGACTTCTAGAGACATTAGCATGAAATTTTCTGATTTCATCAGTAACGGTTGGATTATACACATTTTTCTCATCTGGATATTGATGCTAGTTTGCTAGTTTCTCCTGTCTATGGTCTGCAGATTCATTTGCAATTTTCTCTTTCTGATATTGACGTTGGTTTAACAGTCTCTCTCCTCTACATTCTGTAGATTCATTTGCAATTTTTTCATTCTGATATTGACATTGGTTTAACAGTCTCTCTTCTCTAAATTCTGCCAATTCATTTGCAAATTTTGTGTCTTTGATACTGAGATTGGGTTGCAAGCCTCTTTTTCCTTGATTCAGATGATTCATTCACACATTTCTTTTTCCTTTTCAGATGCTGCTAGGCCAGCCCTTTTTCCTTAGATTCCTCACTTTCATTAACCCTTCTTCTCTTCTCATATTCACGTCTGGCAATCAATCATTTTTCTTTTTCTTCTGGTGTTTCAGTTTAAGACTTCCACTTACTTTTTATTGGTTGTGTTGGTTTCTTTTAATACTGAAAGGCAAATGTTCAATTTTTGGACTCTCAAGAACATTCTGCAAATCATGTTCATTATCTCTGACAAAGACATCTTTAATTTCAAAAGGAACAACCCCTATTTGTATGCAGGAAATTGGAAAATATGATACAAGGTTTTTAATTCCTTCAATAGTAAGCAAAATACATTTCCCAAATGAATGGGGCATCACATTCAAATCTCTGGAATGAGCATCAAAAATTTTAAAGCTTTGTTCTGAATTCTTAATCACTGCAACTGTATTAACTCCAATCATTAACAAACAACAATTTTCGTTAAGTTGAAAATTAAAAAGCAATTCTGTCAGAGAATTTTGAAGAGACATATATGGTCCATTATTTGATGCCATGAACAAAATTCCTGTTAATAACTCACTGTATTCTGTTGTGCATACTTTATAAAAAATTGAAACAATGCATGGAACATCAGTTTAAAGCATATAATCATCTGTCTTGAAAGAACATCTTATTGATATATTCAAATTATTTCCATTGGTAAGAATATTCTTCAAAGTGGAAGAAGCCCACCAATCGACATCTTCTATGTGATGATATAATTATAACAGCAGTGAGTGACATTTCTACACATTGCTTACCAGCATTTTCACCAGAGTGCTCCATTTCCTTGATTGTAGTCAGCACATATTGTTCTTGTTAGATCGATGACATCAAATATTGTAGGGCCTGGATTTTCCTCTGCATTATTTGCCTGCCTTATAAGTAATAGAATATAGGCATTGTAGAAAATTATTTGTGAAAACCAAAACATCACATCATTCCACATTTTGTGTAGTCCAACAACTTTTTTCAATACTGGCAAGTAAAATACATTTAAATAGAACATCATAAGCATTAAACTCCAAAAACGATCCTCAAAACGTGATAAGATGTCCTTTGTTTCACGAAATTGTCATGAGAGCCAATCCTTGACCGGTACTGTTCAATCGAGATTCCCATACTTACATTCGTCGTTTTGAAATACGCCTCCATGAATTCTCAACAGTGCGAGAAGAATGCAACCACAACTCAAATGATTTCACTTTATGGCACTTTCAGGTGGCTTAAGAGACTTTCAAACTCTTTCAGACACTCAGTAGTGCAACCCGCACCGATAGATCAAGCCGATAGTTGATGGCTTACGAGAGTGCAGTGGCTCCTTTCAGTGTAGTACAAACCGTACCGAAGATTCAAGCAATTAAATGCTGTCTTTTAAGAGCGTAAAAGCTCTTGCACAAGCTGTACTTATAACACAAGCCGGGTCTGCGTGTGTTGGCTTGTGTGAGGAGAACTACCTCGTGATACGATCACTTGAAAAACATTTCTCGAGAGCACGCTTACAACGGATGGCTGACTCAGACTAATACACCATACGACACTAAACCACGTAATAGGCGCTCGACTCTCGTAGAAAAATAAATCAATCAATCAATCAATCAATCAATCAATCAGATCGTGCCATAATGTGGCAACACCCCTTGTGTAAGCCACACAAGAAACAAGCTGATGCCAGAATTTTGGATGATTCTTCGCTATTTGTGAAATGGAAATTTGCCTCCAATTACTGTCCAACTATACCCTAGTATATTTACAGAGAAAAACAACCAGATCCATCGTCAAGCTTAGCCTGCCAATGGAGTGTGTTTGACAACCATAATGCATGTAATCCCGACAGAAACAGTACAATGTGAATAAAGGTGAAACGCTTGTGCTTTACATCAGCTTCTTGAAGATTTAATTCGCCACTACACTGTTTACATCAACCAATACGTTACATTCTATGTAGATTAATTACAGCGGCACACCGGGTCATAGCTATCTATCTAATTTTTGCAAAGCTTAGAGAAAAAATACGAAAAAATTAAGCGTTCTAAGCCTGTTGTAGAATAACAAATGTGAAGACGTCAATTTATAGTAACTATCTTTAATCGTGTAAAGAGTGAGACGGCTTTCACGGCCAACATCACAACTAGCGGTAGATATAACGAAAATAAAACGTGATTCGATGCCTTTAGGATTGCTAACATCTATCTACAGAAGATTTGTTTTCCTCCATCACTAGATCATCCAAGACTACCAAAAACAACTTGAAAAAGTGAAATGCTCAAATTTTTGTTTACATTAATTCATCTATTTTTTTTACATTTTTTATTTCTTTTTTTTAATCTAATTTTTAATTTAAGCAAGGAACTATTTTCATCGAAAAATCACAAGTAACAAGGAAATTTCACTTAACATTTTGAAAAAAAAAATGAGGATACCTTTTACAAGTCAGAGCAGTCCACTATAACTTTCACGAACATTACTTCATCCTTGATATAAGCATGCTTGTTCAATTCCGTCAGCGGAAAGAACAAGGGACAACCGCTGGCGATGTTTGTTTCTCTTCGTGGCCTATGGAATGACGAACTGTTCGGATCAGGTCTGAACGCGTCAATCACGTGTTCCACGTTATTCTGATCCAACATCATGAAGGTGACCTTCTGTCGAAATGGCCAGCGGAGGAGCGCATCGTATTCGCCGCGCATCAGCACGAAAAACAGCGAAATGTGCGTCCCCTTGCCTGTCCCGTCTCCATTCAAATAGATGCGTGCGCACATCTTGTAGCCTTGACGACTTGTGTAGAACGGAGGGCTGTAATAGGACTTCTCTGGTTCGTTAAAGGAGTCATATATCTTGGCAGAGACATTTGAAATTCTCCAAAGAAGTACGCCATCGAAACTGTACGGTTCTTGGTCTCTGTTGATTTGTAAACCAGCCACTGGCGGCATGTTCCTCGTTCTCGTAGCTTCTTCCATAGAATCTACTTTTGCCTGCAGTCGCCTCAAAAGTTCTCTGTTCCTCTCGTCTTGTCTTTTGAGCCAGACAATTTCGTTGTTTTGGTCGTGTATGGTTTGATTTGCTTCTGCGAGTAGAAGTTCGTGATTTGCAAACTGTCCTTGCATGTTGCTGATCGCCCTCTTAACGTCATCTAACACGTTAGTTATCTGTTGATACTGAGCGGTAAGGGAACCGTGCTGTCCTTGGCCTGTGGGTACTGAATCGGGTTCCACCAATATATCCTCCACGTGCATCAAACGAGATCTTAAATCATGAAGCTCATCTTGAATGGCCCCATTCTCTCGTACAACTGCTGTTACCTGGGATACAAGCTGAGAGACTGTGGACTTCAGTCGGCCCATTACAGCCACTCCCTCCCTCAGAGGTTTTATCTCGTTAACAAAGAATCCAAGCTGGTCTCTTATTCTGAGTATAAAGGGGACGAGGAGGCCGAGATGAAAGACCACCAAATTCTCGTCATGCTGGCGTCTTTCGCTACGTTTCATCTCCTGAAATAACAGAGGAGGACCCTCTTTAGTCAATAGGCCTACCCTCAAAAATGGCCGGAAATAAAGCAAAACTGCACCTAAGAGCAATCATTCAAGCACACGATAGAGGAGCATCTAGCCACAAGTTATCAGAATTTATCAGAACTGAAGACATCACTTTTGCAGTGAACAGTGAAATCAGTCTAAATTCTCCATTGTTTGGAGAAAAAAAAGAAACGATGACCTCTGATCATTTTTTCATCCTATTACCTGAATGTGTGAAATAATTACAGAAAATAACAGTACATGTGTAGGTGTGAGGTAAGACTGCAAGAGTTACATGGAGTACTATATGAGTGAAGTGGAAAACATTATTTACCAGTGAAAGGACTGAAAATAAATCCCAAACAAGTTATTTCCTCAAACAAAAAACAAATCAGTCGTCCCAAGGATACAACTGAAAATACCTCTGTGGTTTCGCATCCTAAAAAGCGAAAAGGACATAATGCTTTGGATCCCTCACAGTCTCCATTCTCTGGATCACGGTGTGCATTGATATTTCCTCGAGGAATATCCTTGTTACACAAGATGCACTTCACTGGAAAAGACTGGCAAGCGTTCTTGTAATGATCCTGCAATAGCAATCAGGCGATAAGTGGTTGACAGAGAGAGTACTAAAGGAGGAAGAATGAAAGGGAAATAACAAAGAAAAGTTTGGAGTTGTGAGACAGAGCGCGCGGAGAAGATCTCCGTAATAAAAGACAAAGTAATACCAAGCTAAATTTACAAGGAATTTTCAGTTGAGGTATCATAAAGAAAGAAGCGGAACGACAACCCTCAGCAACAACGCTTACGACAGGAATGAAGCAAAAACAATAACCTCATTGACGACAGTAATGCATCATACCTCTAAATCAGAGAAAGGTAGTTCTTGGAGACAGTGTTCACACTCTGCCTTTCTTTGACTGCATTCCTTTTCCAGATGTTGTGCCAGATCTTTTTTCAGCAGCTTCGTTTTACATTTGTCCTCGTAGATGCAGTTTATCTCTTCGTAGTCGCAATTGGCCAAATGTCCCTAAGATATTATCATCATCATCATTAATATCATTATCACTATTAGCATTATCATTATTGCATTTGACGTCAAGAGAATACGTGTTATATTCGAGCTGTGTTCAGGGTTTGAGCGACATCTTGGAATGACTGACCACTCGCCTCGATTTCATGCGAGAGCTTTGAATCCCACAGGTTGAGTGAAGTCGAGCGGGTCGACTCGCTTTGGTGTGGATGTTATGAAAAGATATAAAGAAAACTGCAACCATTTATCGAAGGAAACGAGCGACTAGAAATCAGAACTGTAAGTCATGCCACCATTCGACGTTCGTAAGTTTCATTAATCCATGGCGAATCGGCTCACTCACCAAATGATCGGCTCACTCACTCTCACTCGGATCACTCACTCAGCGAACGATCGGCTCACTCAGCTCCGGTTATCAGCTCATATATTGAATCACCTTATTTACCTAACTATTCATTTTTACGGCGTTTAGGATAGATTCTAACTTCAGTTTTAGGGTGTTTCTAAAATCAGTAAGTGAACTATCTTTTAGACGACGAGGAAGGCTTTGTACCCTTGCGAAGCTAATAGCTTCGTTAAATAAGTGATTATTTAACGAAGCTATTAGCTTCGCGAGGGTACAAAGCCTTCCTCGTCGTCTAGAGATTGTAGATTGTTGACATCTGCATGGGTCTATAGCTCTGTTATAGGTCTATCAGTCACCAATGACAAGGAGTTAGTTTTTTTCGCTGATGGCGAAGGAATTTTCTACCCTTCATCCATTGATCCTTCCTTTCTATTCGTCCATAGTTACACAGCTACTTCATCCGTGCGAGTCTTCTTCCGCAGAGGTGAAGCGTAAGAGTAATACCGAAAACAAGTGATGGTGAGAAAAAAGAACAACTTCATTTCCGTGCAAGACTCTTGAGAGAGCGAGTAAGTTAGAACCAGATCTATCCAAAGCAAATAACAGATTTACATCCAGAAGTAGTAGTATACTTTGGAGTCTACAAGACGTAATAGAGGTGAAGTTTTGACCAGAAACAATTTCAATTTAATCCGCGTTGGTTATTGGTTAATTCAGGCGAATTGATCCGAAGTAATGAACTACTACCACCCTTATTTCCGTGATAAATTTGCTTAGGTTTTTATAGGTACAATAGTCCAGCCAGTTACAGTCGATTGACTTACCTCTAGGTTAGTTATCTTACCCTCCCACTCACATCCGTGGACGATATGCAAGCAATGCACCATAAGACTTTGGATCTCCTTCTTGACACATCCATCTGGAAAGACCTGCAAAATTGTTCGTCTTATTATCCTTTCGTCAATACGGATGCTCTCGACATTTAAAGATATACAATTGAAATAAATCATTGACAGCTACGGGAGGCAAAAATTTTGCGCCACGGAAACTAATTCTCATTTAGCCCATGATTTATGTTAGTATATACCACATAAGTGAATGCTGCTTTTCGCGCGCGCTGATCGGCCAATTCGGAAGTAAATAGCTATTATTGTGATATACCTAGACTTTCACTCAACAAAACGAGCACTGTGATTGGTTGCTTCTTGGTCACGTGCCCCTGATCCAATTCAAATGTATCCCGACCGGGATACAATGGCACAGTTATTGCCCGCGCGCCGAATTTTGCCATATTTTTGCCATATGATTGTCTGATTGGAAAGTCGAAATATATAACAAAGCACTCAATGTATGGTCCCTCGGGAAACTGGTAGGTTTTGTTTTCCTCGGGACCATGCACCTCTGAGCAGCTTATGAGATAAAGTGGTGCGTCAAAAATTTAATTTGTGACTATTTTTTATTACGCTGAAAGAAACAACCTGGTACCTGTAATATATGCTAAAACAATTATTCACCTCCACTTCGGTGAATAATTGTTTAAGTTTTCCGGAAATAGCATTAATTAAATGGAGTGAAATCTTCTTCAAACAAGAAGCGGAGCACAAACTGTAACAGACACTCTCTTAACTAGGAGATTTTCTTTGCCACTTGTTGAGAAAACGTGTCTTTTATTCATTTTGGCAAGTATCAGGGAATATTCTATGAATCTACTTGTGAAAATGATCAATCATTTGACACGCGTGCCGTGAACTCGTACATCCCGTTTGATATTCAATAAAAAAAGCTGTTTCCCCACTGGAGCGCAGGTTACAAATCGTCGCTTTGACGTTATCATCTAAACTTAGTTGTATGGTTATTTTTTACCATCAGCGAATTTTCGTATGATTTTCACATTATTTCTCCTTGACAAGTCTTAACAGTCTAGCAAGGTTAACTAACCTGAGCAGCGTTGAACTCTTCATCATCAACTTTACACTTGAAAACCGCGTCCCTGCGAGGGTCAAAGATGTACATGTATTGAAGTCGTAGTAGGGCAAATGTGATGAAAATGATTTATCGTAACACTCAAAACGGACTGAAGGAAGTTATCACAAGGATGTTTTTCTCGCCTTAGTCTCTGGAACAATGTTTTGCCTCGATGGAATTTTCTATGCTTGGTGAAAATTACATTAAATATTTATCGAACAAAAGACAGCACTTATTATTGTGTAACAGGTGAATCCGTCTGGTGTATATATTAAGGTTTACCTCTTCAAATGTTCGAAACAGCCTCGACAATAAAAGTGTGCGCATGGCGTTTGCACTGGGTCACGCAACATTAAGTGGCAATGCTTGCATATGTACTTCGGTAAGATATGTTCTAGATCGCCTTCAGATAGTTGATACCCTGTCATCTGTCCGGTGCGTTGCGAGAAATTAAAAGATAGTTGAAAAAAATCAGAAGGGCCACCAATAATTCTCTCTTATTTTGAAGCAAGTGGAAGTGTTGTGTACGGAAGCTAATTGCCGCCAGCTTGACAAAATCTTGGACGATCTAGGAAAGACGAAAACTCACCATAAGCTCCTAACAGACTTTTCAGTCATAACATCAGAAAGACTTAAACGTCGCTAATAATGTTGCGCAACGATCCAATTTGAAATTGAAAGCTATTTTTAGGGTTGAAGTGCGAATGCAAACGACTGAGACCTTCGCTTCAAGCCCTTGTTGACACCGCGTGATACTGCTCAAAAGAACATTCAAACTATTGAGGGTAGAATAGTAAAAAAAAAAAAACTGCCTAGAAGGCATTTGAACTTGTTGACGAACTCTTCTACCTAAACTTTTCTTGAGTTTGACAACAAACTCTATCCCACATATTCAACTCAGCACGGCGGTCAGACCTCGAAGAGGAATTTATATCGTCGCAAAGCACTTGTGCGTGAAACGACTTTAAGGAGGCTCCATAGGGTTTTTTGACTGCGCGAGATCTGGGTACGAACATAGCGCAAGCTTTAAAAGTGTCAACATGCAAAACAAACATGGCGGCTCGATACGATCGCACGATTGTTGTCTGAATAGGTGAGTTAAAATAGTTTAAATCAATACAGTTTTCATAGACCTTCTACGCCTGAAAATAAGGTCAACCGGAAAGAAAACACTGTGGGAAAGATCGCGCCGGAAGGCGACAGATTCGAAAGCTGAGGCGTATATAGATCTTGGCGAAGTTCTATCCCATTACGCTATGTTTTGCACAGAAAATAGGGCTCTTTCTAGCAAGTTTTATCGCGTTTCCTTCAGTGGAATTCTCTAAGATTGTGCCCGTTCTAGTGCCTGTTGATCAGAAAAATTTATAAGACCAAATTTGAGACAGAGGAAGAAAACGCGCGCGCGTCAGCATCAATCAAAAACCCTCTAGAGCCTCCATAACGAAATAAACAAACCTCCGACCCAAGTTGTTTGCGCAACCGCAATAAGATTGGCATGGACACATAAACTTTTGGAATTCTTACTACGTAAAGCAAAGAAGAAATGCTCGGCTGGCACATTTGACTTACATTTTTATATAAGCCGATCAGTTGCAACTTGTTTCCGGAAGAGAAGTCGCCGTCGATACTTGTCGACCTCGCTGTGAAATTCAAAACGGAGAACACATCCGTTAATTCAGTTCTTCTTGGGCGAAAAGACCTTCTCGGTGCACACAGGTGAAACATCAAACTTCTTAAGCCCCGAATGAAAAAAACTAACGCAGTAAAACGAAACCGGAAGTTGTCTTCTGATGCGGTTGAAACTTGCCGATCAGCCTACATAGAGATGAATTCTCTAGGTAAATGACAATTCCCAATCCTTAATCCCAATCGAGTAAGCGGACAGTACCTACTTTCTGAAACCTACTTGTTTTTTCCTTTTTTAACACACACCTAGGACAGCACGCAACTTTTCTTAATGGATCTAGGAGTTTCCTTGAGCGACATGCATTCTGGGATAGGGAAAACCCCTCTTCTATGACTTTAGAAAACAAAAGTGTTCAAGTTGTCAATCACAGACATCGAAATATCTCCTAATAAAAAATTTTTGATTAGTAATATCAAGCTGTGTTAGGATGAAGTTAATAATCATTAGCAAAATAACGCGAAAACGAAAAGCGTTTCAAGATAGTCATCTAAACTTGAAGAATTTTAATGTCAAACTTGTCACGCAGTGTTAACCCTGAGAGTTTCTATAAAGGATGCGGTTCCTTGAACAAGGTGCATTCTGGGATAGGGAAAAACCCCTCTCTTTAGAGTACAAAAGTGCGATTTACGCACTTGACCATACACTGGTATAAGTAGTCGATCACAGAGATCCAAGTATCTCCTTATGAAAAAACTTTGATCAATACTGTCAAGGTATGTTAGGTTGAAGTTAGTAATCATTTGTAAAATAACGCGAAAACGAAAAACGTTTTAAGATAATCATCTTACCTTGAGGAATTTTAATGTTAACCTTATCACGCAGTGTTAACACTAAGAATTTTTAAAATGAATGTGGTTAACGTAGCAGAACTCACAATATAATCAAGGCACCCAACCAAATTTGAAAAGAAAAAAATCATTTGACAGACAATTTAATTTACTGTAAGTCACTGGCTGATGTCAAAGTTGGAATGCAAGCTTTTAGTTTGTAGCGCGGGCACGCAACTTTTCTCGATTTATCCAGGAGTTATCTTGAACGACGTGCATGTTGGGATAGGGAAAACCCCCTCGCTTAAGAGAACAAAAAAGTGATATACGCACTTGAGTTTCTTTAAACGACGTGCATTATGGGATAGGGAAAACCCCTCGCTTTTAGAGGACAAAAGTGTGATATACGCATTTGACTATACCCTTGTATAAGTAGTCGATCACAGAAATCCAAGTATCTCCTGGTGAAAAAACTTGATCAATACTGTCAAGGTATATTAGGATGAAGTTAATAATCATTCGCAAAATAACGCGAAAACGGAAATCTTGTCAAAGATAATAACCCTATAAAGAATTTTAATGTTAAACTTGTCACGCAATGTGTCAACCTGAGAATTTAAAGGATGTGGTTAACGTAACATAACTCACAATACAATCAGGGCACATAACCAAATTCGAAAAACAAAGCATTTGAGAGATAAATTTTAAGGAAATGGTTGTCATTATCGCCGAAATATCCTGACAAGTTAGCCTTGATTAAAAAAAAAACATCGTCGCTTCGCTCCCATCGGTACATGTTAATTTTCGACGCATCAGATATCATATGAATTGAATTTTGTGCATGACAGAGACAAAACAGCTAATTTTTGCATGCTTTTACTGTAAGTCACAGACTGGTGTCATAGTTGGGATGCACTGTAAGCTTCTAGTTTTAGGCAAATTTTAAGATTATAACAAATTTCAAGTTTGAACAGAGTTTCTCATACGCTTGTGAACAAAGCCTGACAAAGGGTCTTTCCGCATTAGCGAAAAAGTTCTTTGTTTAGACAAATTTTCAAGTGCGAATGGTTTGTCGCGACTTGACAATATTGGCCGAAGTTGACAAATCTTCGAACGTACCGCCGAAAAAATTTGTCCCGGGTTACAACTGGACAAAATCGACTAAATAAATAAAGCCGCGACAAATTTGTCGATCATTTGTCGTAGAAGCAACGACGAGCTTGTAATTTTGTTCCAAAACTCGGGGATTCTAAAATTTTAAAACGAGTTAGGATAAATCTTGTAAATCGGAGTTGGAAACCTTTGGCAAAATATGCTGGCCGGTCTTATGAACGAATCAGGCGCTAACGGAATTTGACGGCTTTTTTTTTACAGCCCATAACATTACGGCAAAACTGATCAATCACTTTATACAAACCAGACTAAGTACATTCGACTGACAACAACCTTTCACTTGACTCTGATGATGAGTTCTGCTCAGGTTGTCGAAACGTCACTCATACTACCGACAACAGTCCTTCTCAGGACTACACTCACTCGGACGATCAAACTACACTATTTGAAATCTTTAATTCGAATGCAACAGAGAAAACAAAAATTTGTCCTTTGATTTTGTCGGGACAAGTTTAGTTTTCTCCGCTTGAGTCGAAAGGCCCGAAAACAAAGCCAGTGCAATCAATATTTCGAGATACATGAAGATAACCGTTTATATGTAAATCAGGGCAACCGTAATTGAAGATCTGCTTCGCATCCTCCGAATTAGGGGTACTCCGTTAATAATATAAAAAGACTCGACAAGATGAACTCGGTGAATTGTGGTTAGAAATTAAATCAGATCTGAACTACTGATGACTTTCTCTGAATGTGAGTTTTAGCCTTAGTTGCTAGCGATAAAAGCAAGGTTATTCGATGATTCATAGGAGCGGGTTTAAAAAATCATACAGAAATTTAGGAGCCTATAGGCTCCTGAGAAATTTGAATATGTTTCCAGTCGCATGCCATTATTCATTTAAACATTCTCCGTAGTTTTTGAGGTATATTTGTAAAATGTAGAAGTAACCGCGACATTATCAAATGAAGCACAAAGTCCTCAAAATGGCAGCCGTCACCTCGAAGAAAACTGAAATTTGCATATATATTAATGTAAACAAAGCCACTGTATTCTCACCTTCTTACTTTATCTTCTATTTTCTACTTTCTCGCTTGGTTTCGGTTTCAGTTTAGATAAATTTAGGCGACGCTCAGGGATTGCAAGCAGTTTTACACGAATCATGGGAAATATGATATTAAGCTTTGACGTATTTCATTTAACGTCACTACTGTGTCCGGGGAATCCCCGAACGAACTGAAAATTTATTATACCCTGCTAATAGGTTCTTTCACATCTAAACGGCGCCAGATTAGGCAATCGACCATAATTGATCGATCTGTAGATCAATCACTGTAAAGTAGTCATAATTTACAGACGTTACCCGATCGCTAAACGGCGCGAAAGAGACACTGAGACAAGAAGGAATTGAAGGAATTAGGTGAGCATTATGCAGCACGAATTCCTCTGGTTTTCTTCGACTTCCAAAGTCATATCGTGTTTACTTTACCGAAGTTTCGACGTGTAAGAATTCCAAACATACCAAAGTTTTGAATCATTGCAACTTTTTCTAATTACAAGCGTGACTTCATACGCTTTATCGGGAATGCCGGGATAGGGAAAAATCCCTTGAACAAACAACATTATCTCGTGCTTAGCGAGAGAAAAATCATATGACTAACTCTTACTCAATGGCCTTCAGCATGAGGGATTAAACGAGTCGAAACGAGATTTCATCCGTGGATTCAAAACACAGGTGATTCCTTTTACTTTGCAAGAATCGTGTGTCCAAGCGTTTCTAGTATCGATTTAAACTGTGACACTGCCATGGTTTTCTTCCTAGCCGGTTCCCGCCATTCCTGTACTTGAATTTTGATGACCATTCTCTAAATTTTGACCGATTCTAAACAGGATCCCACCGTTCTGACTGATTCTACACAGATAGATGCTACTTTTGTCTCTCATTTGATTGAATTCGGGCGATGAAACATTTGTCGTAAGATACCCTGTGATTTCCGAAAATATACCATCATCACTATTTTATTATTCCCCTTGCCGATGAATCCCAATATCTATGCGACAAAACCATGTTTTTTTATATGCCGGAGTCTGTTAGAGTCATCCGCATCTAACATCTCTTCGGAATATCGTCTCGTCTCGTTTCAAAGCGCCCCTTCTGTTCCAGGGCACATTCGTAAACAATAAAAATCGCATCCTTGTGTTTGCGCAAAGATTTCTGAGATCGCCACGGGGCAGATTCTCTATTTCGAAAGAGCAAAAATTTGAAATAATTATAAAAAAAAAAAAGAAAAACACCTTTTATATCATAAATGTAACAGCCGTCAAGTCAGTGTCAAGTCCACGTTTTATTCGATCCGATCAACTACGCTAAGCACTCTGTTCGAATACAATACCGTATGAGAAATCCTTACAAACAAGCAAGTGTCCTAGTCCGTAACCTTGAACATCGAAAATAACAAGCGATGTAAACACGAGCGCCGAGGTTTGACCTGGTGTCGAATGACAAAACCTCGGCAGAGACTGGGCCTAGTGCACAAGAAACCAAACATTTACATGGCTCCCATAAAATGTTCGTCATTTTAACCAAAACAAGTCTCACTCAAACTCGTTCAAAATACTTGAATTGCTATGCGTTCGAGGAATCATGTTTCTGATACATCAAAGTTCCTCAAGCTGACTATAGCGACAGCATAAGTTTATTGACTGGTCGATCCAACACCGATCCAGTTCCGGTTTGAAAAGTCACCGATCAGGCTTGGCCTCCATCACGACGTGTGGTAAGCGCTTTAGCTATAGGCCCCTTATTCCTGCAAGAATTGTTGTCCTTTAATAAAACAATGTCACCTTCCGTGAAGTTTCTTCTCTTATGTGTCCACTTTTTTGTCAACTGTAAGATCTGAAGATATTCTTTACTCCATCTGTTCCAGAATTTGTGAGAAATATTCTGTGCGCGCCTCCAGTGATGTTTTCAGTAAGTATTCCCTCGTTGAAACTTTCCTGGAGGGGGGAGAACGAGCTTAGTTTTACCAATAAGAGGGGTACTTGGCGTTAATGGCAACGGTGAGAACGGGTCACTTAACCTTATTGTGCGGCTCCAGAAATATTGCGGGCGCACTTGTTCGTCCATCTGGATGGATTCCGAAATATTCCGCTTTTCCGAACATTGATTTTATTGGCGGAGAAGTTCGGAATATGTCGGGCTTCTGCGGGTTTACGGCCGTGGGCCAACTTACGGGACATAAATTAAGTATCCGACAGAGTTCCGAAGATCCGAGTAGAATAAAATAATTAATTAGCATGAAATATATTTTGTAGCGCGGTAACACTGATAAACAAAGATGGCGGCCAATACTGTATTTGTTGATGAAGAAACTATCGATGAAGGTGTCGGCGGAGAGAATAAGCAATTTAGATGA